CGGCCGCGGGTGCCGAAGCCCTGGGCCAGCCAGGCCTTCCCGGATGGGCCTGAGGGTGGAGCCGAGTTTAGGGAAGTGACCCAGTCGGGCACCGCCCGGAAACCACCCCGCCCCCTGTATACGGCCCGAGGGCTGAGAAAACCGAAGGTTATGTAGCATGCCCAGGCTCCTGCCTGCAGCAGATAGGTCTGATACATCCGTTGTTTTAAGGTGATTCCACAGGGTTAGGGACCTGGAGATGCTGCTGCTTCTCGGGTACGCCGTTCTCTATTGGGGAGGGGGCCGAACCTAGCCGATCTCCTTTCCCCGCCTACTCCGGAAGCTACCGAGTCACGTGGCCGGCTTCCTCTGCAGTTCCGGGGAGTTCGGGGGACCAGATTTACCGTGGATTGCCCCCCCCCTCCTGGCTCGGGCACTGCCAAGCACGACGCAGAGTAGGAGTTTAAAGATCGCGAGGCTTCTGGGCACTTGAGTTTGGCATGTTAGTTTTTACCAGCGACTTCTGGGGCCTAGCACTATTCCCGGAAGAAGGGAGTTGTCGGGCAGGATCCTTATTGGGGGTTGTGATTCTTGTTTTGGTTGGGAAAGACCCTAGGAGGGAACAGGGGTCGTTTGTGCATCAAGCAGTTCTGGTGGGTTTGTTGTAACTGTTAGTGTCCTTGGGGTCCCATCTAGCATTGTGGGGTCTTGGCTCTGTCTGAAGAGGAGTCTTGGCTCAGGTGTTTGGGTCCTCCATATCTGAAGTTCTAAGTCACCAGTTTTATCCAAAGGCTGAGAGCAAATACGGTGAGTAGCAAGTGAGTCAGTAGCCGGTGGATCTTTTAATTCTGGGTTCACATTTTGGTCAAGGCTCTGTTTTCACGAGTTTTCCATTTCTGTCCCGTAAAATGAGGGAAGGGGTTGTTGAACTAGGTGATCAGAGGCCATGGCTGCCATTCTGAGGTTGTGTCCCATCTGGTTCTTTGACAGTGGCTTGGGTGGAAAAACTAGTGACTTGCCTTGGGAAGGGCACTAGTGACCACCCAAGACGCGGACTGGGATCTTCTGAGAAAACAAGGGACAGTTCCCTAGGGTCCTTTTCTTGATGAGGTATACGTGACGTGTCTCCCAGGCCTCCGGTGTGGCTGTCTCTGATGGTGTCATCAAGGTGTTCAACGACATGAAGGTGCGTAAGTCTTCAACACCAGAGGAGGTGAAGAAGCGCAAGAAGGCGGTGCTCTTCTGCCTGAGTGAGGACAAGAAGAACATCATCCTGGAGGAGGGCAAGGAGATCTTGGTGGGCGACGTGGGCCAGACTGTCGACGACCCCTATGCCACCTTTGTCAAGATGCTGCCAGACAAGGACTGCCGCTACGCCCTCTATGACGCAACCTATGAGACCAAGGAGAGCAAGAAGGAGGACCTGGTGTTTATCTTCTGGTGAGCTCATTCTGGCACTACTTCTTGTCACCTACTCTCTTTCCCATGATGGGAACTTCTGTGGATCCTGGTCAACCCAGAGGTGTGGGTTTGGATTGGGAGGGGGTTGTAACAAAAGACTCCTCACTGCCAGCCCAAGGGTTTCTCAAAGTCACCTATGGCTTTGCTGTTGCTGCGAGTTGCCTGACTCATGTTTCTGTTCAGGGCCCCTGAGTGTGCGCCCCTTAAGAGCAAAATGATCTATGCCAGTTCCAAGGATGCCATCAAGAAGAAGCTGACAGGTAAGGGCCAGCATTGGTGCTGAGTGCCTTTCTGCTGTGACCTTGGCTGCAGGGTAGGGTGAACAGCACCCAGAGGGGGTCCGCCCCCTTCACTGCCTGCTTGTTCCTTCCATCTGCTTTGATTGGCTCCTTCCCAGCCACAGAAACTACCCCCAGCCCAGTGCTTACTGCTCACAGATGCTCCCCTTTCTTCCTTACAGGGATCAAGCATGAATTGCAAGCAAACTGCTACGAGGAAGTCAAGGACCGCTGCACCCTGGCAGAGAAGTTGGGGGGCAGTGCTGTCATCTCCCTGGAGGGCAAGCCTTTGTGAGCCCCTTCTGGCCCCCTGCCTGGAGCATCTGGCAGCCCCACACCTGCCCTCGGGGGTTGCAGGCTGCCCCCTTCCTGCCAGACCGGAGGGGCTGGGGGGATCCCAGCAGGGGGAGGGCAATCCCTTCTCCCCAGTTGCCAAACAGACCCCCCACCCCCTGGATTTTCCTTCTCCCTCCATCCCTGACGGTTCTGGCTTTCCCAAACTGCTTTTGATCTTCTGATTCCTCTTGGGTTGAAGCAGACCAAGTTCCCCCCAGGTACCCCAGTTGTGGGGGAGCCTGTATTTTTTTTAACAACATCCCCATTCCCCACCTGGTCCTCCCCCTTCCCATGCTGCCAACTTCTAACCGCAATAGTGACTCTGTGCTTGTCTGTTTAGTTCTGTGTATAAATGGAATGTTGTGGAGATGACCCCTCCCTGTGCCGGCTGGTTCCTCTCCCTTTTCCCCTGGTCACTGCTACTCATGGAAGCAGGACCAGTAAGGGACCTTGGATTAAAAAAGACAATAATAAAAAGGCTCATTAATGGGATGTGTGTTTCAAGGTTGGGGCCCAGGAGACTTTGGGGAGGGGTGCACTGGGAGAATGGTGCTATCTCTCTTCTCTGTACCCCATACCCAACCAGTCCCTGCACACCCTTATCTGGCTTCAGTGATTGGCTGAGACACCTTTCTGATGCTCACCATTCTGTTGGTGGGGCTGTGATCGACACTGGACTGGCTGTTTAAGGAGTGGTGCTGGCCACAGGGGTGTTCCAGCGGAAGTGGTTTATGCCTGAACTGCGTGCTCTGTAGCCTTGCCTGAACGGGCAGTGAGGTCCATCTGATAGTGTTTTCTGTCCCTGCCTAGGTGTGGGCTGATAGGCAAGTCACAGGTAGCTTAAAGGGTCGGTTTGGTTTGCTGTCTTCCCTGCATGGCTGACTCAGGTTTATGAGGGTCAGGTTCAGTGGTTGCTGTGAGTCAGCCCAAGTTGAGCCTTTGACCTCCTCTAGATGTGGCTGGAGTCCATTCAGGGTGGGGCCAGCCAGGTGGAGCCCAGGACTTCAGACCCAGGTGTCTTGAGCACCGCCTATGTTTAACCAAAAGGGTGTTGCCGGTACCCTGAGCCTTTTGCCAGCATTGCTATGGGTTGTTTCCAGCCTGTACTTTGGGCTTTCACCTGCCCAGCAGGCAAAGACATCCAAGAAATCTGGCCCTAGGGTGAGGTGAATTGGGAGTGGTAATGGGGCATCTATATCTCCTCCCTAATTAACTGAGCCGAGAAGGGAAGAGGCCGCCTGGTGTTACAGTTGGCTCCTTACCTCTCAGGAGCTTGTGAGTGGTTCTGGGAGGAAGGGCTAGATCCCTTTTCTGGTTAGGAAATAACGTGTGGAGAACTTGCGATTCATTCTTGTGCTAGGGTTTGTGGGGGTGGGGGCAAACCTGGAAGACACTTCTGGGGTTCCTACGTCCCAACTTCTGGGTGTTGTGCCTTCCCACAGGAGCTTGCTGTCACTGGAGAGGGCTGAGGATACTGCAGGGTGCCCTCCTTGGTGTCCCCAGGATCTGATCATACTGCCTTGGCAGAAGGTGTGCCTGGTGGACCCTTGAGCTGTGGGAAGGGAAGCAAGGACAATAGGCCTCCTTGCTACAAAACCAGGGTTTTTATTTGTGAAGGAGAACAGGCTGGGATCAAGAGAGCTATGATTCCTTCAAGGCCCTGGGTGAGAGAGGAGGCTGTTCCTCAGCTTCCTGGGGAGGGGTGTCGGGGTCCCTGGGGCTCTGCTGACCTGTGGCCAATCATGATACCTGTGCTGCCCTGTGTCTTGCAGGGCCTGGCACCTTTGGTGGTGGTAGTGGTAGGGGGTTTGGGCTTTCCCTGGGAGGATGTGGGGCAGAGTGAGGGTGTGGCTAGTGGCACTGTGCTAGAGAAGGAGACATCTTGCCAGAGAGAGGGGTCTGGGATACCCTGGTCACTGGAGATCCCAGAGTAGGGTCTGGCTGAGCTCTGGCTGCTCTAAGGCTCCCCCTTTAGGGCGACAAGGGTGTTCCGGAGAATCAGGGTGCTGGCCTGCAGAGGAGAAACAGGTCCTTGAAGTACTCTGCTCCTTGAGTCAGGCTGCCATTCTTTCTGCACTGTAGATACCCCCTTGCTCCCCACACCCCTGCTGTGTGCAATAACAGTTGCTGTTAATTGGGTCTTCCTACCGAGAAGGCATGGGTCGTGAGCCAGGGAAGCATGACCCCAAGCCTTCGCTGAGGCTGCTCTCATCCACACACGCACGCATGTACACGCAGACACCCACATATGCACATACACGTGTGCACATCCACACGTGCACGCACACCCTGGTGCCTGGGGGAGGGAGGGAGGGAGGTGGGAGGGCTCACCTTGGCGTGTTTGAGCTCCAGCTCTGCCAGCTCAATGAGATTCTTTCGAAAAGAGGAGACCCGGCGGGACTTGAAGTCCATGAGCTCTGGAGAGGAGGGGAAGAGGCATGGGGACTTGGGCAGGGCATGTGGCCCCAGGCTGGGGCCGGGGGGCTGCGGGCTCACCTTGCTTGGCGGAGTCGGAGAGGCGCTCGAAGCGTTGGCAGCACAGCTGCTGGTGGCTCTCGGCGGGGCGGACCTCCCGGTTCCTGGTGCGCGCCTTGTCCAGCGCCTTGTTGGCATTCTCGTAGTCGGCCAGTGCCCGCAGCCGCCGGTACAGCAGGTCCTAGGACCACGGGCACAGGGTCACTGCTGCCCTGTCCTGGCTTCCAGGCCTGAGCATTGCTCTGGGGCTGCCTCTCACCTTTGCTGCCTGTGAGTCGCGCATGTAATACCTCAACATGTCTGACAGCTTCAGGTCCTCGTCGGAAGCCACTCGGCCCTCCAGCTTCTGCATCAGAAAGGTGGGCACTGGGAAGGGAGCTTGTCAGAGGGGCAGCTAAGGGGTGGGAGGCACCGTTTCATGTAAATATCCAGCAAAGAGGCCTTAGGTAACTGTTCCTGAGGGGTGCAGGCCAGGGAAGGCTTCACAGAGGAAATGGGATCTAATCTGGATCTCAGGGACTAAGAGCCAGACAGGGAGCCGAGGGCTTGGCAGCTGTGCAAACGCGGCTATGTGTTCAGGGAACCTTTAGTTCAGGGAGGGCACTTGGGCAAAGCAGGGAAGGGAGGCAGTGGCTGGAGCACAAGAGGCTGAAAGTGGAAGCTCAGGACTTTGGGAGCTTCCAGAAGGGGCAGGGTCTCTGAAGGGCCTTGAGCAGGGAAGAGATGCAGTCCAATAGACGTTTTAGGAAGACAGCAACACTCCAGCGACTTCTTGGGGAAGAGTGGGGGATGTGTGTACCCAGGCAGTGTGCTGGCAGCTGGGTGCAGCCTGCCAGAGATTTGGGCACATCCTTGTGCCTCCCAACTCTCCCCTGCTGCACACACGCATGTACATGCGCGCGCACCCCCACACACACACACGAAGCTGGATCCTTGTCTTCAGCCTAGCTCTCGTTAAACTAGTCTGGAGTGTGAGCCCAACTTGCCACTGGGCCCAAGTTATCACTGAACCCAAGATGATCCTGGAGCTCTTCCCTCTGCCAGGACTCATCTTCCCTGCGAAGATCACCAGGAAAGCTTTTGAGCACAGAAGGCAGTACTCACCCTCAGCCTTTCAAAGAGCTCTGCCAATTTGAGGAAGCTCCTAGGAAGTAGTAGGGAGGAGTTAGGGTAGGGGGCTGAGGAACAGCTCAAAGCCTATCTGTCTCAGCCCCTCCTTGGGAGTCTCCCTCTCGCCTTTCCCTCCCAACACCCTCCCCCAACAGGAGAGCCTACACCTCCCACCTAGAGCTGACAGTAGACATCTACAGAGTGACCCCTCATGGGAAGACATGGTATTACAGGCATAGGGAGAGGGTAGGGGTGGACGGAGTCCTCACGTCCTTAGCTGGTTGACTTCCTGTGTTCCCAGACTGCTCAGCGCAGCTGAGATAGGGATATAATCATCTGCCAGGCCTGTTGGGGGAACAGCCCCCATCAGAGCCCCTACATCTGCACATCAAGCCCTGGTGCCTGTGGCCACAGACAGACAAGGCATGCCCTGCTCTCTTCTCTCCCCCAAGGAGTTGAACCACTGGGGAGAGGGGCTGTGGGATCCAGGACCCCTTGGACCTTGCGTACACTTGTGGGCACGCATGACGCGGTCGGCCCGCAGGCAGGCATCTCGGATACGGGTGTGATACTCCAACAGGAAGGTCCTCTCATGCTCAAAGAAGTCATCCACCTCCTAAGGGAGCCAGGCAGGACCCCATTTACACTGGGTCACCAAGGAGCTTGGCAGCACAGGCCCGCAGTTGGCAAAATCTCCTTCCAATCCAGGCCAGGCCCCACCAGTGGCTTCCTTCCCACACCCAGCCTGGGCCTCAATCCGTACTGTGGACTTGAGGTGCTGGATTGAATCTGGAGAGGAGCTCCAGGGGTTACCTTGAGCCCTGACATGCCCGTGATGAGGGCTTCATCCGCAGACTTCACGATATTCCTCAGAAACCCTCCGAGGAGCTCCTTCCTGTTCTTCCCCCGGACACTCAGCTGAGGCACACAGGGAGGGTATGATGCTGGGGTGGGCGTTCTCGCCTCCCATGCCGAGTCACAAGCCACTCACGGAGCTGTGACACAGGCTTGGGCCCACTGGGGCCCCTTCTCCAGCCCTGCCACCCCTGGATGCCTCCCCACCCAAGCTAGACTCCGGCCCCAGGGCCAGGGATTCGGCCCAGCTCACATCCTGTCCATATTCCAAAAACACAAAGAAGTTGTGGTCCCGACGCAGGGTGGGGTGGGCCGCCAGGCGCTGCAGAAAGACTTCGTGCATCGCAACTGTCTTCTTAAAGATGGCCAGGTACTCCCTGCGAGAGTGGCAGCAGCTCACGGGCCCTCCTCAGCCCCCATCATCCTGCCTGCCCCCTTTCTGGGGTCAGAGGTCAGGGTCTCTAAACATTCATGGGGGGATAGCTGGTGAAGATAGCTGGGGAGGGCTGGGAAAGGAGGGGGCACTCACGCTTCCAGCTCCTGCTTCATCTTGGCAAACTCTTCCCGAGTGACAGAGCTGTCCCCCTCGCCCAATTTCTGTAGCTTTTCCCTTGAAGCCTCAAAGTCTGGCCTCGGAGGGGCTGGGGGGATCTGCTCAAAGGAGGGACGGAGCTGGGAGACCTCTCACTGCCGAGACGGCCACCATAGCCTTTGGTCCTCACCCAAGTGCTCTGCCTGTCCCTCCCAGCCCCTGCCCGGCCCCTTCTCACGATGAGGCCGGCGTACTCCTCGTTCTCCACGTAGGCGTCATGCAGCCAGATGAACTCCTCGTGCTGCCGCACGACTGAGAACTCGGTCTGGGCGAAGTGAGGGAGGCAGCTCTGGAAGCAGGAAGGCCGTCTGAGGTACCCTCTCTGCCCCAAGCCCTGCCTCAGCAAGTCTCCTGGGCACCCACTTTTGGGCCCCCCTCATCCCACATCCCAGGGAGGACCAAGTTAGAGCTCAGGTGTGCGTGATTTCATTTAGAATCGTGGATGGGGATGATTA